CCTTGATGTCTCTGTGGATGACGAGTTGCTCCCAATCTTCGTGAAGATACAGAAGCCCTGATGCCACGCCTTTGATGATCCGGAACCGCGTCGCCCAATCCAGAGTAGGCTTCTCTTGGTCATACAAGAACCTATCGAGGCTGCCATTGGGCATGTAATCATACACCAACAGCAGCTCCCCTTTGCGTCGGCAATAGCCCAACAACCGAACAAGGTTGCGGTGGCGGAGGCGGCCGATGCTGACGATCTCTGCTATGAACTCCCTCATGCCCTGTTGTGATTCGTGAGACACTCTCTTCACCGCAATCTCTGATTTAGAAGTCTGTAGCACCCCCTTGTAGACCTTTCCGAATCCGCCTATTCCGAGCAGCTCCCTATCTTTAAAACCCTTGGTAGCGATGAACAGATCTCTGTAGGAGAACCGATGAGGCCCATACTCAAGCTCCCAATCCTCGAGCACTTCTGCATACTTGATCCTCCACCTCACCATGAACACGATGATCCCTGCGATGATCACAGCAAGTCCAGCCGACGCCAAGGGCAGCACGATGTCCAAAACCTTTGACTTGCCATTTGACTTTGCCAGAGGAAGCGATGGCAGCAAAGAGCAGTCGAGAGGTTCAGCTACCCCATTCATCCTAAAGCTCCAACCAAGAACATAATGAGATGTTTTGAAAGAACCAGTGGAGGAGGAGAATCCAACATACATGGGATCTGATAACAACACGCTTGAGAGATCAATGGTGGCAGACAATAGAGGTTTATGCGGCTTGGCCATTGGGATTGGAGCCATGGTCACGTTAAGCAGCATCTCATGGCCGTCATAGTCTATCCAAACTTGCATAGCTTTTTCACTTCTAAGGCTTAGATCTGTGAACGATCCAGTGTCGTCAGCGTAATAACCAGCAACGTGTGATGTGCTGGATTTCACACTGTTGATATCGATCCCGACATGGTTGTCATCAATATCCAGAACATCGGGGTTATAGATCGTGTCAATCTCAATCGCAAGGACATGATTGTTCGAGTTACCGTCGCTGCTTTGGTTGAAGAGGCCCAAGTACTGACTTCCTAAGGCTGCAGAGAAGTCCTCGGTGGGAGAAACGAAGAAAGCCATCCCGTTCCCGCTAAGGTTGGTGTATGCTGAGATGAAGCCGAAGGCAAAAGTGGTGGAGAAGGAGGAGATTGTACCGTTCGTCCGGTTCCGGAAACGAAGCGGAGTTGGGAAGAAGGCATGGCCCTTCGCCTGCGTTGACATGTCGGTGAGCATCAGCAGACCATCGGAGGTGACGTTGGCCACCCCATCGAAGGTAAGATTGAGGCGTCCGAATCCGTTGAAGGTGAAGCTATCGTTTCCACCGCTAGAGGCTGCATGCTTTAGGTGAAAGAGGAGAAGGAGGAGGCCGACCAAAGTCCTAAGAAACACTGCCGACATGTTACAGAGCTTCTCCATGCTAATTCTGGATTGACAGAGGAGGAGAGAGCTGTTGGCTTTGGTGTCTCATAGTCACCACATACGAAAGTAATCAATCAGAAGAACAGATAATATCACCCACTGATATATAAGCGCAAAGAGGTTCCAACCAGTCTCAGATGACTAGATTTAGCTGCTCTGTGAAATACCCAGCAAAAACGTATACTTAAAATCATCTTCTATTTCATCAAAATGATTAAAGCTGGTAAACCTACACCATCCAACCTATAAATCTCATTTAATTCGACCCAATTGTGATGAGAGAGAACCGGATCATGAAGGACCGAGTCTAAAATCCAGAGTCTAAAATCTCATTTGGGTCTTCTTTCATTTGGTCACCTGCAGACAAAGCTTTGAATTGTGGTGATGATCTACATGACGAAGCTATCTGAACATATTTGAACTTTCTCACCCTACACAGCTATCTGCATCGAACAATAGCAAGAAAGGAACTATTTGCATACACTGCCACACTATCAGTAAGTTACACTTGTTCAAGCCAAAAATCTACGATCATCACTGTTGGACGCATAGGGTTCGAATAGAGCTTTCCGGAACGGAGTTATAATAGGGATTTCGATTTAGGATGACGATATTAAATTGAACTTGCGTGACCCGATGCTTAAGCTGCTTCGGGTCCAAGTTTTCATCATATTAGTTGTCAACATCTAATGATCTCATCCGTAGATTCTTCAACTTTCTAGCTGATACGTCCACAGCGAATCCGGCATAAAAAATTATATTTCATTGAATGGAGATGTAAAGATTTGAAAAGAATAAACAAAGAATAGTTTCCTCGAGTGCTATTGTCAAGAGAGGAGTATATGAATTGTACTGTTCTAAAGTTGATGTTGACAGGACAATTGAGCTGAGCTGCAAGACATTTAGTCAAGCTGGCATCTTATGCAACTCTGTTAAATCTTATGAAATAGTCTGGCTAATATCTCATCACAATTTGTCCCCATTCTATCTGACTTAGTCCCACAAAGTTGGCAAATCACCTCAAATAAAGAAAAAATAGCTGATCTAATCTTATAAACACCACGGAGATGAGTCTAAGGAAGCTCCTTTGGTCAATTAAAACGCTGATAAATCCAGCTGGTATATCTCATTCGAATGTCAAGGATATTTCAGTTGACCGCTGCTAAAATTCAACGCGTTGAATGAAGCGGGTCAGAAGAGAGAAACGTTCCACGCCTAAATCCATGCATCCTCCGATCTCTTGCGATAAAAAGACTTCGCTCGTTACTGGTGGAATTGTTCTGCATGATTGAGATGCCAGCAATGCTGCTCAATACTTGGGTGGTCTGCCTGCTTCTCCTCCACCCAAGTCTTGCAGGTGGAAACCACGACTTCGTCTTCAATGGATTTGGGGGATCCAATCTCACCCTCGGTGGTGTCGCATCGATCACTTCCGGTGGTCTCTTGATGCTCACCAACAACACCAAGGAGAAGATGGGTCATGCCTTCTACCCATCCCCACTGCGCTTCCGAGATCTGCCTAATGGTTCAGTCTTCTCCTTCTCCACCACTTTTGTCACTGCCTTCATCTCAGAGTACGCCGATTTTAGCAGCCATGGAGTCGCCTTCGTAGTTTCTCCCACCAAGGACTTCTCCAGAGCCTTAGGGAGCCAATACCTGGGCCTCTTCAATCGAAGCAATGATGGCAATTCAAGCAATCATGTATTGGCGATTGAGCTCGATACAATCAACAACCCCGAATTCCAAGATATCGATGACAATCATGTCGGCATCGATATCAACAGCTTGACATCCATGGACTCCCACACCGCTGGTTATTATGCTGATGACACCGGCCTATTCAAAAGCTTGAGGTTTAGCAGTGGCCAAGCCATGCAAGTTTGGATAGATTACGACGGTCAAGAGATGCTCCTGAACGTTTCCTTGTCTCCGATCCCGATGGCCAAACCCCATAAACCCCTCTTATCCACTGCCATCGACCTCTCGAGCTTGTTATCGGAATCCATGTATGTCGGATTCGCCTCATCCACAGGTCCTGCCTTAACATCTCATTACGTTCTTGGTTGGAGCTTTACGTTGAATGGAGCAGTAGCTCGAGCTCTCGACTACTCCTTGCTGCCTTCGCTTCCTCGTACGAAATCAAATGTTAGATCAAAAGTATTGCACATCGGGCTGCCCTTAGCGTCCATCACACTTGTTTCTGTGATTGTAGTAATTGTCGTTTTCATCGTGAGATGGAAGATCAAGTATGCAGAGCTCCTGGAAGACTGGGAGCTCGAGTACGGACCTTATCGGTTCTCGTACAAAGATTTGTTCGGAGCCACGAAAGGTTTCATGGACGAGGAGCTGCTCGGAAGGGGTGGGTTCGGAAGGGTCTACAAGGGGGTGCTTCCGTATTCTGGATCAGAGGTCGCGGTGAAAAGAGTGTCTCACGAATCAAAACAGGGTATAACAGAGTTCATAGCAGAGGTCGTCAGCATCGGTCGTATCCGCCACCGGAATCTTGTTCAGCTGCTCGGCTATTGCCGACGCAAGGAGGAGCTGCTGCTGGTGTACGATTACATGCCCAATGGCAGTCTCGATAAATTTCTGTACGACCAAGAGAAGCCTCCGCTGGATTGGGCGACACGGTTTCGGGTCATCAAAGGCGTGGCATCAGGCGTTCTGTATCTACATGACGACTGGGAGCAGGTTATAGTCCACAGAGACATCAAGGCGAGCAATGTGTTGCTCGACAGCGAATTGAATGGAAGA